TACTCATTCATCTCAATCCACATGGACAAGAAGAACCACCATTTCGACTGGGACAACACCAAGACCCTGGGACAGGCAGAGACAGGCACAAGAATTCCTAGAAGCCTGGCACTCCACGAAGCATGCTATTAATAAACATATTGAACTCGACCCCATATATATTCCACTACGAAGGAAAACCGGAAGTGAGGCAATCCATCTCAACGGACCCCAGAGTTTAAAAACCAGGCGGGAAAACACACCGACGCTTCATCGGAGGTTGTACTGAGGATGGTAACGAAACGCCTGCGAAACAAGAAACCAGCTTGGCGAGCCAACCAACCTTAACACGGATACAGCATAGAAGACAGAGTTGGAATAACAGGGGGCATTTTCAACCTGTAACCAGAATTGTGTCACAGGGACCAGTGTTGGGGTCACAATGATTTAATATATGACCTGAATGAGTGAAGTGAATGTACTATAGCCAAATTTGCAGATGACAGAGAGGTGGGAAGGCAAGCACTGAGAATGTTACAGAGTCTGCGGAGGGATACAGACAGGTTAAGTGAGGTTGAGTACACTGTGGGAAAATGTGAGGTTATGCATTTTGACAGGAAGAATAGAGGAACAGAATATTATTTAAATGGAGAATGACTGCAGTAAACTACAGAACAGAGGGATTTGAGAGTCCTCTAACACAAATCACAAAAAGATGGCATCCAAGTTCAGCGGGTAATAGGGAAGGCACATGGAGTGTTGACCTTTATTTCAAAGGGAATGGAACACAAAATAGGGAAGTTTTACTAAAACTATACAAGGTATTAGTCAGATAACAGCGCGAACACTGTGAATGGTTTTGGGTCCCTTATCTGTGGGGAGATTTCCGAGCATTGCAGGCTGTTCAGAGAAGGTTCACTTGGCTGACAACAAGTATGAAGGGACTGTCTCATGATGACAGGTTTGAATAGGTTCAGCTGTGTTCATTGGAATTTAAAAGAATGACAGGCAACTTTGACGAGACGTACAAGACTCTTGGGGAACTTGACAGGGTAGGTCTGGAAAGGTCGCTCTCCCATGTTGGAGAGTATAGGACCATGACCGTAATCCCAGAATAAGGGATTGCACATTTAAAACAGCAACACAGAGGAATTTCTTCTTGCAAAGAGTTGAGTGTCTGTGGAATTCTTTACCACAGAAGACCGTTAAGGCTGAGTACATTCAGTACTTTTAATAAAACAAAGAATTGCAGATGCTGAAGACCTGAAACCAAAACAGAAATTGCCAGAGAAACTCAGCAAGTCTGGCAGCATCTGTGGAGAGAAAGCAAAGTTCGCGTTTCAAGTCTAGTGACCCTTCTTCAGAAAAGACTGGATTCATTGAACTCGAAATATTAACTTTGTTTTCTCTCCACAGATGCTGTCAGACCTGAGTTTCTCCAGCAACTCCTGGTTAAGTATTTTCAAGGCTGAAGTAGAGAGATTTTTAACCAGTAAGGGAGTCAGAGTTAGAGGGAAAAGAAAGGAAAGTAAGAGTTGAAGATTATCAGATCAGCCACGATCTCAGAACGGCAGAGCAGAGTCCATAGGCTGAATGACCTACTTCTGCTCCTATGTCTAATTAATTAGTAATCCACATAATTCCTGTATTTTAAATAATACTGACCCATGTTACCTGTTTTTAAACTTTTTAAAAGACAACATCAGCTGAATAGTGTAAATAAATGAGACAAGCTACATGCGCAGAATTATGAGATAGATTGATAACTTGGCAGAGTGGGATTAAAGAGCAGCCTTGCACAATGATAAAGGGTGTGTAGTAATATTCTACTAATCAGTGCAGGGTAAATGTTCTTCACAATTCATAGTAAAAACAAGATTTCTAAATTTGGGAATGACACCAAAATGGGGGTGATAGCCAATCCCATGGAACACTGCAACAAACTATAAGGAATTAAGGACATTGCAGAAATGAATTTCAATGCAGAGAAATGTTAGGTGGGATATTTTGATTATAAAGAATAGGGAGCTTATATTATTTGAGGTGCAGCTACAGGTAGGATAGAGGAAATAAATGATCTCAAAGTGCAAATAAACTAAGTGCTAACAATGTACTACAAATTGGCAAAACCCTGAATAAAAGCACGTGGAAGCAATGGCCTTGTGGTATTCTTGCTGAATTGTTAATCCAGAGACACAAGTAATGTTCTGGGAACCTGGGTTTGAATCTCGTTATGGCAGATGGTGGAATTTGAATTCAATTAGAAAAAACAAACTGGAATTAAGGGTCGACTAATAACCTTTAGGGAAGGAAAGTGTCATCCTAACCTGGTCCGGCCTACATCTGACTCCAGACCCATAGCAATGTGGTTGACTCTTAACTGCCCTCTGGACTATTAGGGTTGGGCAATAAATGCTGACCGAGCCAACGATGCCCACATCCCGTGAATGAATAAAAAAAAATTAAGGTTTATTCCTAGAGATGACAACTGACATGTAAGGAAGAAACGTTATGCTAAATATGCATCAAACTTTGGTTATACCACAAGGAGTTCTGGCTACCATATTAAACAAATGATATAGAGGCACTAGGAGAGTTCAAGGATGACAGCGGAAATATTCTTAACAGCAAAGTGTGAAAAGATTGGGTTTTTCAGAAGTCTGTGCAGTGATCCAAATGAGGTAATCAAAATTGTGAAAGATTTTGATTAAGTGTTTGCAGAGAGAATGATTCCTGAGGGGAAACAATTAACCAAAAAGGTCAACAAATAAGACAGTCGCCATGAAATGCAACAAATCATTCAGAAAAATACTTCTTTAGCCAACGAATGGTGGGAACACAATGTCTTATCGCAGCAAGTGATGAAGCAAATTTTCTGATGAAGGGTCTAGGCCCGAAACGTCAGCCTTTCTGCTCCTATGATGCTGCTTGGCCTGCTGTGTTCATCCAGCTTTGCACCTTGTTGTCTCGGATTCTCCAGCATCTGCAGCTCCTACTATCTCTGAAGCAAATGCTACAGATGACTTAAGGAAACAAATTAAGGAAGAAGAAAGTAGGGGGTGACCGCGATAACATTAGATGAGAAAAAAAATGGGGCAGGCTCAAGTAGAACATAAATGACATCAGAGACAGGTTGGGTTAAATGGTCTATTTGGCCTTCTATAACTCACTGCCAAATATCCACAAACAGCAGTATATTTTACGTCTGCTTTCTTCTGTCTCAATACATAGCTTTGTTACTAATTCAATCAACTTATATGTTGCAAATACAGAGAAAATAGAAGTAGGACATTCGGCCCTTCCAGCAAATAATTCAGTGTTCTCATTTTCTCCCCATACCCTTTGATCATTTTAGCCCTAAGAAATATATCTATCACTCTCTTGAAAACATTCAATGTTTTGACATAAATGGCTTTCGGTGGCAGCGAATTCCACTGCCTTACTGAAAAACGTTTTCCTCACCTCAGTGCTGAATGGCCTAACCTATACCATTAGACAGTGACCCCTGATCGACAGGAACATCCATCCTATGTTTACCCTGTCTAGTCCTGTTAGATTTTTATAGGTTCCTAGGAGATGCCCTCACCGATTCTTCTAAACTCCCAAGAATACTGTCCTAACTGATTGAGTCTCTCTTCGTAGATCGGTTCTTGCCATCTCAGCAATCACTCCAGTAAACTTTTGTTGCACTCCCTTCATAGCCAGAACATCCTCAGTCAGAAAAGGAGACCAAAACTGCACACAATACTCCAAGTTTGGTCTTACCAAGGCCCTGTACAATTGCAGCAAGACATCACTTCTCCTGTACTCAAATCCTCTCATGAAGGCTAACACTCCATTGGCCTTCTTCACTGCCTGCTGTGCCTGCATGCTTACTTTCAGCAACTGATGTACTAGGACATCTAGGTCTTGCTACACCTTTCTCAATCTGCCATCCCAAAGTGGGTAACCTTACATTGATCCGCATTATATTTCATGTTGAGTCAGAGTCAATATGGCGGGGAGCTGGAGGAACAAGGCAGGCCAGGCAGCTTCAGGGGAGCAGGAGAATCGACATTTCAGGCCTAGACCCTTCTGTGGGACTGTCCTGATATTGACTCTCCTGCTCCCCTGAAGCTGCCTAGCCTGCAGTGTTCCTCCAGCTCCACACTATATTGACTTGGAGGCATTATTTGTGTCTTTTGTGAAAAAAACAACCAAAATATGCTTTTAAATTGATCTGTTTTCTCTTTGTTCCCCATTATAACCTCCTGGGTCTCACTGTAAAAGACCTAACATTTGTCTTAACTAATCTTTTTCTCTTCACACAGCTTTAGAGGCTTTTACAATCAGATTGTATGTTCCCTACAAGCTTACTCTCCTACTCTTTTTCCTCTTAATCAATCATACTGTTCTCCTTTGCTGAAATCTAAACTGCGCGCAATCTTTAGGCTTGATGCTTTCTTTGGCCAATTTGTATGCCCATCCTTAGATCTGATACCATCCCTAACAGTCCTTGCTTGCCATGGTTGGACCACCTTTCCAGTTTTATTTTTGTGCCACAGGAACAAGGAACAAGGGCAGGCTACTTGGCCCTTCAAGCCTGCAGCAACATTCACTCAGGTCATGGCTCATCCAATTTTAACCTCCATAATCCTGCATTATCCCTGATAATCTTTCCTCGCGGGAATCAAGAATTTACTTCTGGCTTAAAAATACTTAAAGCTTCTGCATCTACAGCCTTTTGAGGCAGGGAATTCCAAAGACTCTCAACCTTCAAAGAAAAAAACGTTTCCTCATCACAAATATTTCACATTTTATGACAAATTACAACGCAAACTGTTTTTGACAAGTCAAATATATGTTACTTAGCATTCAACAGTATTTTATAAATTTTGCTTTATGCTCAATCTTCTTTCTTTTCCTGAATCTTAAATGTAGCCTTCCAGAATTTAGTACAAATCAAATTTTGCAATAACTTAAAAATAAAACTGCTGTATTATGCGAAATCAGGGATGCAAAGTACGACTTGTATCACTAACCTCTTCAGAACTAACTTCCTCTGCTTCGTCATGGAAAAATTGAGCTAGTTCCTCCACAGCAGCACGCGTTCTATATTTGTGTTGCTCACGACGCTGTGCCCTCATTTTTCTTTTGGTGTGTTCCCACGACTCCAAGGAGTCATTCTAAAATGAGAATACCAAAACAAGGAATTCTTTTCAATCAAAAATCAAATTATTTTTTGAAGGATACTATGAGGTATAGTAAAACTCTTTTTAAAATTAGCACGATATATAAGGAATTTAGGTATAGGAGCAGCCCATTTGGGCCTTTGAGCCTGCTCTACCATTCAATAAAATCATGGCCAATATGGTTTTGGTCTCAGCTCCACTTTTGTCAGCACCTCTCAACCCTAAAACCACTGTCTATCAAAAAATCTACCAAACTCAACCTTCAGTAAGAACAAAAGAATAAGATTAAGATTATTGGACCAGTGACAAATCAGCGCATCATGAGAATGGTCAGATAAAGATTAGAGAGCAGAACAGAAACAAGTAGAGCTAAAGAATTGGAAAAATGGGCAGGACAGACCTGAACTGTGCCAAAATGTTGTCAGGGTGCACAGCGCTTGCAGTACCTAATGCTTTTAGCCATTTCCTTATATCATATGGAGTGAACAAAATCGGTGATGGCTGACATTTAGGATACTGAGCACGTTCGGAGGCCAAGATCGATTGCCGACTTTTGATTACAAGTGTTTGAGCCAGATGTTCTTCACTCATGGACGGGGCTCCACCATAATCAACAATAGGGATATTTGTGGAGTCTTCTCCTCCTGTGAGTTGTTTAATTGTCTACCATCTTGCATGATTTGACGTAGTGGGAAAGGAGAGCATATATGATCTGTTGCTTGTTAACATCTGCTAATTATGAGTGATAGCATACTGCTTGAGATTGGTTGGCTCACCGAGCTGGTTTGTTGTTCCGCAGACGTTTCGTTACCGTGCTTGGTAACATCCTCAGTGCCGCCTCTGATGATGCGTCGGTGTGTTTTCCCGCCTGGTTTTTAAACTCTGGGGTCCGTTGCGATGGATTGCCTCACTTCCGGGTTTCCTCCGTAGTGGAATGCA